AATTCGAAAAAATCCGAAAAAAAATTCCTAAAAATTCCGAAATAATTAAAAAAAAATTGAAATTTCTTGAGAACTCTAGAAACTTCCATTTCTCTTTACAAAAAAGTATAAATAGACCCTTAAGGCCTTTAGAAAATTTGCCCATTCTCTTCTTGTCCCTCTTGGTCTCTGACAGTTGAGGCTTTCCGCTAATTTTGAGTGGGAAATTTCTCATGCTCGAATTAGCGCCCCTCCTTTTGTGCAGAAGTTAGGGGATTTCTTCCCCCCTCAGGGCTTTCTAACAGTGGAGGCTTTCTGCTATTTTTGAGTGGGAAATTTTTCTTGCTCGACTTAGTGCCCCTCCTCTTATGCAGAAGTTAGGGGATTTCTTCCCCCCACCCCTCTGGCTTTCTGACAGTGGAGACTTTTCGCTATTTTTGAGTGGAAAATTTCCCCTGCTAGAATTAGCGCCCCTCCTCTTGTGCAGAAGTTAAGAGATTTCTTCCCCCCTCTGGCTTTCTAACAGTGGAGGCTTTCCGCTATTTTTGAGTGGAAAATTTTTCCTGCTCGACTTAGCGCCCCTCCTCTTGTGCAGGAGTTAGGGGATTTCTTCTCCCCCTATGGCTTTCTAACATTTGAGGCTTTCCGCTATTTTTTAGTGGGAAATTTTTTCTGCTCGACTTAGCACCCCTCCTCTTGTGTAGAAGTTAGGGGATTTCTTCTCCTCTTGTTCTTGCATTGGAGACATTCCACTGTCGTAGATAGGCGGTATTCCCTTATCAAGCTTCAGTGCCCCTCTCTTGTGTAGAAAAAGTCGCGATGGGAGGCTATCTTCTTAATAGACAACCCTTGATGGAAGAAGATCAATTGCTGCTTGTATGCGAGGGTGATTTGAGAAGATCTGGCGGTGATAGTGTCCTGAAGGAGAACCAGAAGTGATGAGTAGATGAGGCAAATTTCAACGCCATTTGAGCGAAAGTTTGTCGGCGATGGACGATCAAGTTAAAGCTCATTAGCAGGCAACGACCGAGTGTAGAGCCAAAGGAGAGAGTTCGAGTGTGCGTTGCAAGTAGCAGTCAAGCGAGAAGCCGATGATGACTTATACGAAGTAAAGGACCGACGACGAACATCAGGCAAAGAGCCGATTATTAGGGGTGTCAATTCGGGTCAGCGGGTCGGGTTCGGGTCGAACCCGGAACTGACCCGGCACTGTTCGGGTCAACCTGAACCCGACCCGTTTTTAAAAACGGGTCAGATTTCCAGTCCCGAACCTGACCCGATTCGGGTCCGGGTCAACCCGACCCGACACGAATGACCTGAATTTGAGCTAAAATTGCTAATTTTTGGGTCAAAATCAGGTCAATATTCGATTTTCGGGTCAAAATTGGGTAAAAAAGGGTCAATCTTGGGTTTTCGGGTCAAATATGAGTTTTCGTGTGACTTTCGGGTCAATTTCGGGTTGCTGGGTCAACCCGAACCCGACCCGATTTTTAGAACGAGTTAATTTGTTCAACCCGAACCCGACACGTTTCGGGTTCGGGTTGACCAAATCCCGAATTTTTTTGGGTCGTGTTTCGGGTCGTGTCAAAAATTGACACCCCTACCGATGATGACGGTGGATTTAATTTACCCAATGAGAATTTGTAGCTTAAACTTTCCTCATCTCAGCAGAGAACGGAAGATCAATAGAGTAAGAGCTATGATAGCTTATTGATGTTGAGGAAAATTATCTGGCTTGGGATAAGTAAGAAACTTTTGAAGTTTTAAACTCCTTAAAAATATTCTTCTGATGAGTGAGAATAATTTTATTAATTTTAATAAGATCTAAAACTGAATATATATAGTGTAATTTTAGTAGCAATAGATCTAGTGAGGATTGTGACTTTGGGCGATCAAGTCATTAATAAGAGTACGTGTTTTAGATATGTTGGATTTATTGTTCAGAGTGATGGTGAAATAGATGGAGATTTTATTAGTAGAATTCAAGTTGGATGGTTGAAGTGGAGGAATGCATCGGGCTTGTTGTGCGATAGAAAAGTACCTCTCAAACTTAAGGGTAAATTCTTTAAGATGGTGGTGAGACCTGCAATGCTTTATGGTGACAAATGTTGGTCATTATAAGAGAAGCATAATGCTAAGTTAAGTGTTGTAGAGATGAGGATGCTTAGGTGTATGAGTGGTTTTACCCTTAGAGATAGGATACAAAGCGAGCATATGCGTGAAAAAGTTGGAATAGCTCCAGTGGAAGATAAGATTAGAGAGAGTCGCCTTAGATGGTTTGGTCACATTAAATGGAGGCCTTCCAATGACCCGGTTAGGAAAGTTGAGGTATTAGATTTTACTTATGTTAAATAAAGTTAGAGGTAGACCTAAAAAGACTTGGTTAGAAAATATTAGAAATGATATTTCTTTATTAGATTTAAATGAGAATTTGACTTTTAGCATGACAATGACGAAAAAGGATTCATGTAGCCGACCCCACATAGTGGGAGTCTGGCTTGATGTTGTTGTTGTTGAATGAAATTCTACTTCTACATCTAGCTGATTTATGAAAGAATGAACTATTATCTTTCTGAATGTCTATTAACATTAGCTCTCTGATGTCAATAACTATCCCTTTATTTCATGTTATTAAAAATTTACTTCTTACCTTTCTGATAATCTTCTATATCCTGAAAACTGCAAAGGTCATTTTCTACTTTAGCCTCGATGATTTCAAGTTTATTAGAGAAAATAAACCTTTTTTTTTTTTTTGGAATTGAGAAATGTATTTTTTTTTTTTCATTTTTTGAGCCTTTTCCGAAGAAGTCTAAGCCTCATGACCAATCTTTTAATATCATTTCTTTCACATGAAAAACCAATCTACCAATTTGTATTAATCTCTTTAAAACCTTCCTTTAGAAATCATCCATCCTCAAATCGTAAAATATGAGATCTTGAGGGTGTATGATTAGATTTGAAAGTTTGGCCAAAAATAAGAAAAAGTTCCTCACAATAAGCAGAAAGAAGAAAATGATCTAGTTCTGCAAAATTTTCCTTGCTTCTCTTATTGAACCAAGTGAGTTTTCTCACACTTATAGGAATATCCAGAAGATTAAATATATTAATGAAAAGATGCATTAATTGTGGTAAGCATTTTATTGAAATTTTCACTCAAAAATTAAAGTGAAAAGAAATAAAAAAAAAATGTTATTGCATGATGATATATGTGATGAGGACATCAGATTTCGACACGTGTATCATCGCAGGAGACGCAGATCGACGGCTACAATCCAGAGCCTCTACTTCTGATTTATTTGCATTTTTATTTTATGCTTGTATTTCTTGTTTCCTAGTTTGCCTCTGTGGGCATTGAGTCGCTTATGTAGCTCGGAACGGCATTTATGTTATTTCTTTTTTATTTCATTTTGGCCTACTTATATGAGGCCTCTGCATTCCTGAAATTAATGACAATCATATTACAATAATCAACCGTCAGGTTGAAATTCAGTTACGAGTGGAGATTGAAAATCTTTTGATGTTTACTGATCGGGCGAAAATTCAATTTCAATTTACCATCTGGCGTAAGTCCGACATCAATCGACAGTCGGGCAGAAGTTACGCATCAATCGAGTGTTAGGTGGAAGTCCGACGACAGTCGAGCAGTAGTCTGGTGACAAGAGAACTTCCATTTTTTTCTTCCTTCTCTTCTTACTTGGATCCCCTCTCATCAGAAATGAGAGGTCTATTTATAGTTTTTTGACAATGTCGTGACAAATAAATAGAAGGAAGATTATGGATACATTGAGTGGTTTGAATGGACAGCCGGTGTTAATTCCCTTAATCATGAATCGTTTACTGGACATTTGAATGTTTTAATGATATCATAATTTGACAATCTTGGGCTCATTAGATTCGTCTGGTCAAGCCGCTATATTCAACTATAAGCATGTCACGTTTGGAAATTCTTTGGTAATCCAAATTATGAATTGAACATTCCAAATACGCTTCGGGTCTTTGATTTGGACCTATTTGAGCTCTGATTGGGTAGAATTTGGTGTCATTGGATTCATATTTTTGAGAAGTTCAGTTCAACCGTAAGTTTGCTAAAATAGGAGTTCATATGGTCTTTGATTTAATTTTTGAAATTTTCAACTTGATTTTGTGTTGAGATTCGTGCTCGATTAAGATAATTTTTTGATTATATATATTGAAGTTATTCCTCCTGAACTGCGAATATATAGATATGAGAAGGGCATTTTAATCCAAAAAAAATTCCAAACATTTTTTTTCAAGAAAATATCAACAAACATATTTGACTAATTTCATGTCTTATGAGACATAAAATTTCAAATTTTCAAAAGTTAATTAGGTAATAATAATTTTTTAAAATGATAATAATCATATCTCAAAATCTTATTTTGTTATTTGAAAATATTTTGGATAGATTTTATTAGTTTCACTTCATCTTTAGAGATCAGTATTTGTTGGCCGCAGCAGAACCGGTAGAGATAGAATGCCTATGTATTACATCGGTGACGGTGATGGATTAACAGTCACAGCAAATTTATCCTGGTTTCGACTCTCTGAACCACTAATCAAAGCAGTGAAGGAAGTGGTGGTTCAGGTCTTGTTTGGGACAGCTTTTTTATTGTTTCTTAAAGCTGCTTTCTACTAAAAAATTAAAAATTTTATACTAAAAATGCTGTTTTAAGAAATAATAAAAAAGCCATGCCAAACGAATCCTCAAATTATCTGATCAAAGTGCTTTAGTTCCTTGTGCCTCTCCTGATCATCAGCTTTGCTTATGTTGTTCGGAAAATATTTAGTTGGAGCAGTTTGGTAGAGCTTTATATGGGGGTTGTCATGCTATTCCGATCTTATTTGGTCAGCAATTTGGCCAAACTGAGAAAATTCATGAATCAATCGGACCGTCTTAAAAAGCTTTGAGATTTGTGTGTACTAAGATTAGTGATCTCAAAGATAAAATTTTCTATGATGCCAACATACTCAGGCTTCATTTGAGACGGCTTTTTTACACTTCTTAAGACATATTTTAGTAATTTTTGTACTACAAAGCTGTCTTAAGAAGCAGTAAGAAAGCCGTCCCAAACAAAGCCGAAATTATTAATCATATTATTGACAAGCACAATTAATTGAATACAAATTCCAACCTCTTCTAGCACCCTGTCCATTAGTTTCTAATTGAGACCATAATCAATAGAAATCACTTTGTATATTAGTACCTGAATCTGCACCAATTAATCCCATAATGATATAAATTTCATCTAGCAATGTATATATTTCCTTAGATTTTGGGTGTGATTGATCTTCTACTAAGAACTTGTACATATTTCCAGCCAATTCAATCAGACTATAGGCTGCCTCCTTCTTCTTCTCTCTCCCTTTCATTAGCTTCCAAACTGTAGCAACACAGTCCCAGCACCCCACAGACGCATAAATATTGGCAAGAATAACATAGTTACCTGGATTCCAGGGCTCCAGCTTGAAAAGGAACTCTGCAGCTATTTCTGCGAGCTCTGCGTTTCTATGGAAACTGCAAGCTCCAAGCAGAGCTCCCCATATAGCAGCATCTGGTTCCATTGGCATTCTTTTTATGAGGTCATAGGCTTCATTTAGATATCCTGCACGTCCTAGAAGATCAACCAAGCAGCCATAGTGTTGGATCTTTGGGGAGATGAGAAGTTCTTTCTCCATATGCTGAAAGAGTCGCTTCCCTTCTTCCACTAATCCTCCATGAGTGCAAGCCATGAGAACACCAGTAAATGTTATGTCTACAGGTCTGATACCCTTTTTCTGTCATTAAGGCAATGTTTAAACAATTTAGCATAAGTACAGGCAAAAGATACATGTTTAAAACTAATCTTAATATCATAACTATCCGAAGAAGAAATAATTATTTCGACTTCATTGTTTATTAAGGGTGGGGTGGACTGTATCACATAAAAATTTGGTCTTTATGTTTCTTGTTGAATAGTGAATGCGGCACTTAGGGTGAATTTAGACTTTTTATATGAAGTAGGACATAACTTAGGCTTCGTTTGGGACGGCTTTTTTACTTCTTCTTAAAGCAGCTTTTAGTGCAAAAATTAAAATTTTTATACCATAAAACTGTTTTAAGAAACAATAAGAAAGTTATCCCAAACGAAGCCTTAATCACATAAAAGGCAAAACTCCTCTAAAATTTTTGAAAGGGATGACCTCAATAACAGCTGACACAACATCGGTCACAAGTTGGCATTGGCTTCTCAAATAATTTTTATGAGTCAATGAAATTTTGTTTCACAAACGTTTTAAGCTCCAACTCTGCATGCATCAATTTCTACTATTTTCTTAATACGTAATCATAAATAAAGAGAAGCAAATGGGTGGGTTGAGTCTCACCTAATTAGACACTAAATGGGGTGGACCGTATCCTTAAAAGAGTGCAAATAGCATTTCATTAAAAAGCAGAAAAAAAAGTACAAATAATGCACCTAAAGATGATGCAATCCTAAATGCATATCTTCTCTTAACAAATACATCAGAGAGGAAGGTAACAATGTTCTATCATCTTTATTCCAAAGAAAATTACAATTAAGAGCAAATTTAGCACGTGCCCCCATGTTGAATCCACCCATGATGACACCAATGATATGCTATATTTTGTGGTATAAATTAAAGCTCTTGTTTGTAAAAGAATACTTAATGCATGCCCATTTAATATTAGCTCTATAACAATTTCTAAAATTTATGAATTCAAGTTCAAAGATTGAAATTTCGCTTGGAACATATTTTAAACTCTTTAGATTGTGAAAAACCTGCAAGCAAAGGTTAGCTACAGAGCGAAGAGGAAGCAGAGAGGCTCAAGAAAGCTTTTCGTCTTTCTTAAAATTTCAGCTGAGCTACAGTGTTTCTCTTATAGAGAAGATGATGAGCAGAATATTCTTTCCGTTAGGATCTCGGCGGCCTGCCACCAGTCAGGGGAAGTGGAGCTGCTGCGGTCAGAGGGCAGGCATCGTGGTCACGTGATATTGGTTGCTTACATAGATAACAGGCCGTGTTAAAGCAACTAGGAGTTCATTTAGGATGGCTGCAACTATCTATAAGACTAAGTGTGAAGCTACTGTCAAAAAAAAATGAGTTTTAAAAATTGTTGTTGTTATTATAAATTTTTTCTTTCGAAAAAAAGATTGAATGAACTTTTTATAATTGTCACATTATAGCATTTTTTTATTATGAGAAGCTCTTTTTCATCAAAAACTTTTGTAAAACAACAAATAAGTTGTAGCCAAATAAACTATGCTATATCCTGCAAAGAAAATCTATAAAACTATCCCAAATGCATAATTAAGTCCATAACAAATTGTTTCAAGGGAAATAGCACAATTGTAGAAGTAACCCAAAGTGACCATCCGCTCATAAATTTAGAATAATTACCAATCTTATGGAACCCATTACCATTAATTGGTTGAATCCATTAGTAGGGATATTCAACTCTTAATGATCACAAGTCACACCATTGAAGGTTATTCATCAACCGAAGCAAGTACTGTAGGTTGCAAATAAAGCAAACATACCTTCATCTCATGGAAGAGTTGAAGACTATCTTTCCACCTCCCATGTACAGCTAAACCCATAATCATCGAATTCCAGGAGCAAATATTCCTCTGCTCCCCAACTTCTCGGAAAACCGCCATTGCTTTATCAATATTACCACATTTAGCATACATCTCCACCAATGCGCTTCCCACAAACACATTGCTTAAAAGATTATTCTCCCTCACAAAAGCTTCAATCTTCTCACCCAAATACATGGCTCCAACATGAGCACAAGCTGGGAGAATACTGGTCAAGGTCACCTCGTTCGGCCTCACCTCACCCATTTCCCACATCCTTAGAAACATTTCAATGGACTCCTCATACATCTCATTCTGGGAATATCCAGAAATCATCGAGGTCCACGAGATCACATTCCTCGCAGGCATGTCCTCAAACAGCTTCCTTGCACTATTAACATCGCCACTCTTTGCGTACCCGGTGATCATGGAGTTCCAGGTTGCGATATCTCGGTGGGACATTTCATCGAACAGCTTACGTGCGGAAGGGAGATGACTGGTCTTGGAATACATATGAAGAAGAGAAGTGAAAACAAAGGCGTCTGGTAAAAAACCGAACTTGAAGATAAGAGCATGGAGTGCACGGCCGTGGAAAGGACTGGAGGAGGTGGTGCAGGCCGAGACCGCAAAGGTGAAGGAATGGAGGTTTGGTCTACAACAGCGTTGGCGGCACATTGAGGAGAAGAGGGTGATGCAATGGTGGAAGTTAACGTCGGAGGCGGAGTAGGCGCGGAGGAGCTTGTTGCAGAGGAAGGTGGAGGGAGGGAAGGTGAGGGCATCAAGGAGGCGACGGGCGTAGGAGAAATCGGGGATGCGGAGGATTAGGTCGAGAAGGAGGCTTGTCTGGTCGGCGCCGCGGTGGAGGGCGTGTGCTTGGATTTGCTTTATTTGGTTCATGGATGCAGCTCCATGAGCTTGCCAACGGCTCCTTTCCCTCCCATCTTTCTTTTGAATAGGGTAATACCGGCTACAATATTTATTAGGGATATTTACATATATAAGTATATAACAATTAAAATAATTCTATCTATATATTTATTTAACTCTAAAATTTATTTTTTACTCATATAACACTAAATTTTTTAAATAACATGAGAAATAATACTCTACTCGCCCTCTCTATTATAATCCCATCGCTAAACTCCTCATATTTGGCGGTCTCATCAGCCTTCGCCGATGAGAACTTCGTTCACATATTGTTGGTCCTATGATTACTCTTTTCAGCAATATCACATTGTGATTTAAGACAACGGAAAGTTTTATAAAGTTTGTTGTATGTTGCTAAGAAGAAAGTAACTTAATTATTTTTATTTTAAAAAATAATTTCGCAGCATAATTTATTTAAATATAATAAAAAAATAGTAATCAAACGAAATTGTCATTCTGATTTGAAAAACAAAGTAACTAAAAAGTTGTGCCAAACACACCTAAAAAGTTGTGTCAATCATCAATCATTAGTTTCATTATTTATGACTTCATTGCATTTATAAATTTTGATTTATTAGTTTCTAATAATATCAAATTAAACAAAGCTCTAAATATCCCTAATTCAAAAAAGATTTGAGTCCGATCCAAGCCAAATTTTTTATTCAAATCAAATTCAATTACAGCAAACTTATGCTTTGTTTGGGACAACTTTATTTCTGCTTCTTACTTATGCAAGATGAGATAGGCTTTGTTAGGGACGACTTTCTTCATGCTTCTTAAAGATGTTGTTTTAGTAAAAAAATAAAATTTATGTACTAAAAAGCCGCTTTATGAAGCAATAAAAAAGACATCCCAAATGAAGCTATAATTTCTTTCAAAAAGAACTTTCAAACATATTTCATAAAAAAAAAATAATTAGCATATAAAGTCAAATTTCCTAATACTTTCTTCTTTTTATCTCCGAAGTCAAATCAAGCATGGAAAGTCAATAAAAGAAGAAAAAAACATAAGAAAAAAAATCTCCAATCAATCTTATTATTTCAATAAATAATATGCACTGATCTTAACAAATAAAAAAAATGAGAATTTAAAGAACAATTAAGCCAAGCTATTGAATAAGGCCTGACTTAGCACTGATAAATCTATCAATCACAATACACAAAAACAACACTAATCCCAACTTGAGATTGTCTCTCAAGGAACCAATAAGCCATGAAAATGACTGAAATTTGCAGAAAGCTTCCATGAATATGATAGCAAGAAGAAGAAGAATGGAAGCGAAGAGAAGACAAACTAAGAGAACTGAAATGATGAGAAGTAATATGAAGGCAATAAGGGAGCCATGGAGAAGGGAAAGAAAGAGAAGATCTAAATTTGGAACCATTTGTTTCAGAGCTAAATTGAAGAGAAAGAATTGTTGGTAGGAGATATTGGAGAGGAGGAATGGAGTGGCTTACACTCATTCCATGCAAATGGAATTTCTTCTTGAAGAAAATATTGCTTTAGTTTTTGAGTCATAATTAAGTTGGTTGATTTTGTGATAGTTTTGGAGGTTATGAATGTAAATAATGAAATATTTTTGAGTAATGTGAATATGTGATAGTAAGATACTAAGATTGTGTGCACATATTATTCGAATTTTGAATTATAAATATTGATTGAATTTTTCTTTGATAATATGATGGAATCTTTGTTAAGTACATTTTATAAAAAAATATGATTAATATTTAGCAAAGTGCTTTCTTTCTTTATTTTGTTTTACATTTTGGTCAATTATTTGACTACAACATGATTTCACACCCAAAAATCGGACGGCACGCAGCAAAAAGAAATTGATTTCGTGAACGACCGTTTTAACGGCGGCGATTAAATCGTGTAAGTCGGCGCCACGCGGCTCTTTTATTCACACTAGTTTCTATGCGGCCGACCGTACCAGAACCCCTTTACTTGCGGGTCTGTCGCTCTTCCCCGCTACCGCGGTAAGTATTAGAAGGACAAGTGGCATTTTTGTGATTTAATGAAAGTATAGCAGCAATTGTGGACTCCGGCGGAGCTATAAAAGAGATCCTGTCTTCGATGTCTGAATCGAATTCCCAATTAGATTTACATTTTTTTCGTTTGCTGGAGAAGACATCGGAAGGGGTGACGGTGGGGTTAGGGTTGGAACGGATGATGATGGGCGGTGGAGGGGAGGGAGATGCCCTCGGGGGGAGGATGGGGATGGTGTCGACTTTTCATCTGCAGATGATGCCGGCGGCGGGGGAGCTTGTTGGGACGAGCGGCGGTGGTGGGTTGGGTGGTGGAGGACAGAGGGGTAAGGAAGAGAAGGTGCCGCAGTGGGGTCAGCAGGAGACTAGGGAGTTGATAGCAATTAGAGCTGATCTGGAGAGGGACTTCACGGTGTCGCGTCGGAACAAGACGGTGTGGGAGGCTGTGGCGTTGCGGATGAGGGAGAAAGGTTATCGCCGGACGTCCGAACAGTGCAAGTGCAAGTGGAAGAACCTTGTCAATCGATACAAAGTAAGATGTCTCTTTTTTCTCTTGTTCTAATCACAATTTTTTTTTTCCATTTTTTGTTAAAAATTGGCTGCGATGATTTGATTTTAGTTTGAGTTGAGTTGCTCTGAGTTTTTTCTTGCTTCTTTGTATTTCTGTATATGAATTTACTGGGATTGGATATATGCTTGTTTGGATGTTGGCCGGGAAAGTTGTTTAGGCTTGGAAAAGGCTGATAGAACTATAAGAGAATGGTTAGCGGTGTTCTATGCCCATATTTGCCTGGGTTTGGTTGATCAAGTTAGCGTGTTGAGGCCCCAGACTATGGCGCACAAATTGTTGAACTTTAAACTGGAGTCCTATAGGTTTAACGTGGATCTAGATAAAACCTGCTTAATTTAGAAGTCATCCAAAGCTTTCTGAACGCCTATCCTATTCATAGTGCCCAGTGAATAAAGTCAGCTGACAAACTCAGAAGTTTAGCTAAAACAAACTTGGTAGGCAATCATTTACAATGGAAATTGTCTGCCTGTTAGAGAAACTTATTTTCCTCTAGGCTTAACTTGACAAGTTTCCACTATAGGGGAATCAACCTCACGTTTGCTACATAATGGGCTTCATCAAGGTGCTTGGCTCTCTTAATGATTGTATTTTCTTCTATAGTGCCAACTTTGATCCTCACCAATAAATAGAGGATCAAGTATTGGACGCATATATCTTAAAATACATGCTTTTTAGACAAATATGGACAGTTTTCTTTCTCTCACGATCTCTTTTGTCGAAGTTGAGTTGCCTTTTTTTTATTAAAAGGTTCAATCAAACACCTCCCAATTTTGATTTATCACATGCTTAAATTTGAATCGACGCACTCTTCTTGTTTCACCTCTCTTGATTTTGTGATAGGAAACACTTTTAGATCTCAAGTATTTCCTATCAATCTTCGGAAAACAATGAGAATTCTTCACAAAAATCCGCACAAAATCACAAAAAACAATAGATAATTTGTATTTTTTATGAAAGGGAAACGGAAAATAGCAAGATACAATTGATCATCTATTCGAGAGGAGGATCGATCTCTCACAAATCTCTAGATGCGCTAGAGTCCAAAGAAAACCTAAATCTAAGAGATCTCAAATTTCAGCCAAATTCAATATGCCATAACCCTAGGAAAACAAAGTATTTAATACATACAAATCAAAAGGAAATATCTAAAGTCCCTACATTCAATTTCCCTTCTAAACCTCCTCTAAATTCCTTCCTAGAACGGCTCCCGTGGACTTGCGGCTCACGTGGCATCCGCAGAGGCAGAAAAGCTCCGTTGTTTCTCCCGTAATCCGGTCTTGCCTGGATCGGCTGGACCAGTCTAACAATACTCCCCTCCTAAAGATGGATCAGTCTAACAATACTCCCCTCTCAAAGATCCACAAGGTGGAAAGACGACACTCTCATTCCTTTTTCATCACAAACGGTAAGAACATGAATAGTTTGGTCCTTACACCTATGCCCTGGCGTATACCTCTCGTCACATATCAAACAAAGCCACTTCACCCTCTTCTTCTGTAATTCTGTCTTTGCAAGCTTCTTGAAGTTGTTCCCAGTTCTTCTTCCTGCAGTATTTTCCTTCGAAGTCCCTCGAAGAGTATCCGATGTTGGCTCCTTAGATTTCAATAAGGTGGTGGTCATCCTGTACGAGCCTCCTCAGCCGCCGCCTCCCGTCTCTCCCTCCAGGTGCCTCTGTTCTTCTACCAATTGAGCTAGCTCCATAGTCTCTCCCAAGTCACGATGTCTTATTACTCTAACCGCTGTTCAGATCTCTGGTGTCAATCCCTTCATGAAGTTTCCCTCTAGCACTGTCTCAGAAAGACAGTCCAATCGGCTAGCAAGGTACTCGAATTTCTCATGGTACTCCATCACTGAACCCTCTTGTGTCAAGGCAAAAAACTGCTCGTAGAAGTCTCATCCCCTGCTAGTTTGGAAACGTTCTACCAAACAATCCTTGAACTCTCTCCAACTCTGTATGGGTCGTCGCATGTCCCTCAATTGATACCAAAACAAAGCCTTCCCTTCTAAACATAGGCCCGCCGCCGCCAGTCTCTCCTCCTCTATCATCCCATTGACGACGAAATATCTTTCTACCTTGTAGATCCACCCGTGCATATCCTCCCCCTCAAAGATTGACATCTTTAGTTTTCTCACCCTCGGGTCACACCCATTTCCCCTAAATCCTTCATAACCTCCCATTCCTCGAAGTAGAGTTGCTCCCCAATTGTCACGATCTTCTCTCCGGCGATCATATCCAAACCATTCATCAAAATCCTTTCTTCTTCTTTCAAAATCAGCTCCTTACAAATTCAACACTCCTTGCGTAGCCAATGCTCATCTCCTCTCTAGAAAGTGGTTCTAGAGGAGGCATCCCGTCTTCTCCCTCCAGGATCTCCACTTCTGACTTTTCCCTTCCCCTAGACGTGTTAGGGTTCCCATCTCTTCCATGGCCGTCGGTAGTTTCCTTTGCTTCCGATGTCACCGATTTGATTTTGGCTTCAAGCAATTTCTTCAACATGTCTTCCATCTCGACAAACTTTTCCTCCATCTTTTCATTGATGGATGCAATATGACTTTGAAAATCAGCAATTTTTTCCTCAAAATATGCTTTGAGTTGCCCAAGTTCTCCCTTCAAAACTTTCACTTTCCTTCCGACCATTGGTTCCCCTTCGATCGACGTGCTCTGATAATTTGATAGGAAAAACTTGTAGATCTTAAGTATTTCCTATCAATCTACGGAGAACAACTAGAATTCTCCACAAAAATTCGCACAAAATCACAAAAAAGTAGATAATTGGTATTTTTTTGATGAAAGGGAAACGAAAATTAGCAAGATGCAATTGATCCTCTATTCGAGAGGAGGATCGATCTCTCCCGAATCTCTAGACGCCGGCCCAAAGAAAACCTAAATCTAAGAGATCTCAAATTTCAGCCAAATTCAAGATGCCCTAACTCTAGGAAAACAAAGTATTTAATGCATACAAATCAAAAGGAAATCTCTAAACAGTCCATACATTCAATTTCCCTCCTAAACTTCCTCAAAATTCCTTCCTAAAATGGTTCCCGTAGACTTGCGGCTCGCGCAGCATCCGCAATAGTTGGAAACGCTCTGCTATTTAGCCCGTAAGCCGGTCCCGCCTGGACCGGTCTAACAATTTGCTCTAGTCTCAATTAGGCGTGGGCAGATTTCTTCAAATAGCTTTGGATCTAGCATCATTTCAAGTGTTGTGTGCATGGAACATATAGAACACCAGCAAATATGATGTGAGCCATCGTAGTATGCGTGAGTTATCCTTATAGAGTGAGAAATACAATGATTTTGTAATCTCCAAACAACTTGATCGAATTTAGGATTGTTTGACTTGCATGATTCATAATGTTATCGAATTGATTCATTCAATTTTCACCTCCATGACACTGTTAAACATTTACTAATGTCGTCTAGGTGATGTCGATGCACTCTGCAACATGACATTTTTGTCATCTTTAGATGACGAAATTAGGAGTGTGTTGTCAAGGTTCCTGATTGCCTAGTTGTCAAGTGAATGGAGTAGGTGCTCAACCAATTAATGATTTTTCTTTGGATATTTTTGTGGTTGTACTCAATTCTCACAAGGTGAAATCATACCCCATTGATCATGTTGCTCAGTTTGAGTCAACAATCTCACTTCGCTCTGTTAATGATGTGATTAAGTGTCATTTCCTCTTAACCACTTTCAATGAGGCATCACGGGGATTGTTTTCATGCTTACCTCCTAAGAGTATCACATCTTTTGTGAACTTCAAATGATAGTATATTACTCAATTTTGTTGAACATGAGACGAGGGCTAAATGAGTCGCTTAGGCGGTTCATGACTTATTCCAAAATGAGATGTTAGAGATTCAATATCTTTAACCCATTGTTGCTTGGTTCACATTGACTTGGGCTTTTGAGAAGGCCCTTTCTGAGACGCACTTGGAATGAAGCCATCACAACTGTTGATTATTTACTGGAATTTGCTAAGAATCACATTAATAATAAAGAATATCATCATGTTCTATGTGTGAGACTTTTGATTTAAAATCTTCCAAGATGCGATGTATACATCCTTGTAAATCACGCTATAATTCGCACCAGCATCTCGACATGTCTAACATGAAGCTGCCAGCATGAGAGAAATGGAAATGTCACTTTACGAGACCCCTTAAGAGGGAAAGCGTGCCACTTTAATGGGCTTGATAGAGTTATACTTCTTTTTGATTGTCACTAACGAAAATTTTCCCCAACTCATTATAAGGAATATGCGCCTGCTATCAATGTGTTTAATATTATCAACATAATATCCTATCAGTTGTTGTATTTTTCACAAAGATAAGGGTTATGGCACACATATATTTGTTTGACACCTAAAGGATCTAGTTGAAGAGCCAATTTGTGCTGAGAAGACAAAATAATTTGTCCTTGTTGATTTTGGTTAATTGTCCAACAAGGCACTAGTAGTTTAGGACAGCCAACTATCCTAGTTCAAGGAATGCATATTGCAGGAGTTTTAATGATTATTGACGGCATTAGAATCGAGGCGTTAAAACAACCAAGTCGTAAAGGAGTTTGGTCAAGAGAGGTTTTCTCTGCTACTTGTTCTTGTGCTTTTGAGGTTCCAAACACGTTTTTAGTTGTTGATCAACTATCAACAAACCTTTGGGAACACATACAGTGATGCCATCGTAGTCATTGTATTGATTGCCATCTATTAAATTGACAACATTTTGATTGACAAATAAACATTATCTTTAAATGTGTTTTCGATTAAATATACATTGATCCATCCTTATTAGTTGTCTCCCATTGTTAGACTCCTCTAAGACTTCTCTAGGGTACGATGAGAACCAGTAGGAATGATTGCTCTGTCGATCACTTGGGGGGATTATAGAAAATAATTCATTGCTAGGTTAGACTTCATGATATGCTACAATGCAATGTTCAATCAGTCTCTTCTTAAAATGTTATGAGTGATCTTCTTGGCCAATCGCATCATTGTGAATTTTTCTGTACAATGATGCATTTTCATTGTCTAGGGAGGTTTAGTGCACTACTGAGCATATTATTTGAAGACGATGGGGTCTGTTCATGAAGTTTTTAATTCGAAAATTGAACAAGTAGTTGCCCTCGAAACCATAGAGGAAGTTGAAGAAGAAGTCACCATCTCTATTAACTATCCAAGTTGTTCTATCCATGTTAAGGTTAAATTCGATGCTGAGTATCAATCTACTCTTGTCGATCGCTTGGAATAGAGTTTTGACATCTTCAAATAGTTAGCTATTGGCATGCTTGTTGTTAACATCAACATTCACATAAATTAAATATTGAATGAACAGCTCACCCAATCAAACACCACGGAAGCCAAGTTGCCACTAGTCTGGCAGAGCCTATTAATGCTGAGGTGCATAAGCTATTGGAAGCCGAGTGTCTATTTGAAGTCTAATACTAATATTGGATCTCTAATATTGCTATGGGGCATATGTCAAATGTAAAATGAAGAATGCATTTTGATTTCACCAATCTTAATCATAGTTGTTTGAAAGACATCTGCTTGCTTATTTGAATTGATGCTTTGTTTAACTCTGATTATTTTTTATGAGCTTTTTAGATACATCTTAAGCTTCGTTTGAGAAAGCTTTTTAACTGCTTCTTAAAGCAACTTTATAGTATAAAATTTTAATTTTTTTACTAAGAACCTGCTTTAAGAAGCAATACGAAAGCCGTCCCAAACGAAGCCTTAGGCTATCATCAGATAAAGATGTTTTCTGTTGACTACATGAAGACAACCTTTATCATGGATGATTACCCATACTGCTACAACATCATGCTGCTCATGTTTAAGAATGTTATGATGACCTACTAGCGAATGATGGATGATGTCTTCAAAGAACAAAAGGTTGAAACATTGAAGTGTATGTAGACTACTTGCTTGTAAAAAAATAAAACTCGTATATGATGGCTTAAGGAGATGCTTGACACTCTCTAAAACACATACTGTGGCTTAATCCTTCCAAGTGCTTCTTCAGTAGGTTTTGGACTTCTTCCTTATGCCTCAAGATTTTTACATGAATCTTGATAAAATAAAGATGATATTGTTATTGCATTTTCTCTGCATAGTTGTTCATTTTTAAACAACCTAACTTGGTTCTTCACTATTTTATGTGAATAAGAGGTGCTAATTCCATGCTATTTTGCATCTTTGATTGACTTCATCAAAATTATTGAGGTGCTGTTTGGTTGCAAGATTTATCTAGGATTTAGGGTCAATCTTGCTGAACAGTTTTTTTGAGTCATGCAAGTCCTACTATCATCTTAATCCCATTTTCCTCCTGTTTTGGACTAAATACCAAATTTTAGTAAAGCATGATTTTTTAGAGGGAAATATGATTCAAGAGTTCCACACACTTCTTTTTATTATACAAGTTCTTCTTCCCCATTTAATTCCTAAATCTTAAAAATATTTGCCAAATATTTATTAAGATTTAATCAAAATTTTAATCTATCATGTCAAATAATATTTATGATTTTTCATCTCCATGATTCACTAAATCTGAATTTTCATGATGATATCTCAGCAATGACATGGATAACTTAAATGTTTATTGGTTCCCCTTCCCAGCTGGGACGTTAAAATAACCAAAAATTCATAACCGAATGCTTTTATATACTTCAATATTCTCTAGGGTAAAGAGACAGCCGATGCTGAAAGTGGAAGGCAATGCCCCTTCTTTGAAGAACTGCATGCTTTGTTCACAGAACGTGCCAGAAACATGCAGCGCCTCCTTCTCGAATCTGAATCCGGCGCCCTTCACTCAAAGAAGAAATTGAAGAGGCTTAGCGCTGATAGATCATCCGACGAGTTCTCAGATGACGATGAGGAAGACGAAGAAGACAGCGAGGAAGAGAAACTGACACGAAGCAAGAAGAAGAAGGCCGAGAGAACCACTCTGCAACAGCAAACCCGAACCGCGCCCGACAAATCTAGACCAGCTAATAGCATTCATGACCTACTCCATGAATTCCTGCAGCAGCAGCAACAATTAGAGGCCCATTGGTGGGAGATTATGGATAGAAGAGCTCAGGAACGGCAGAGGTTTGATCAGGAATGGAGGAATACCATGGAGAAGCTGGAGAGGGAGAGGTTGATGCTTGAACAGACTTGGAGGGACAGGGAAGAACAAAGGAGAATGAGGGAAGAGAGCAGGGCTGAGAAGAGAGATGCTTTGCTTACCACACTTTTGAATAAGCTCATACAGGATGACTTATAAAAGGAAAAAAAAAAAAAAAAGTTTGTATTAGGTCTTAAAAGCCCTCTGATCTCAGAGAGCTATTCAATTATGTTCAGACACCTGACAGAGAGATTTATCCGAATTTTTCTCTGTCTACAGTACCTGCGCTTTCATTGTAGACAGAGAAAAATCCGGATGATTCTCTCTGTCTGATGTCCGGACCTAATAATTTGCCGTTCAGTGAAGCCTCCCTTCAGCCTAAGATCTCTCACAGAATTCAGTTTTGCATGCGTCAACAGGTATAGTTTTCCATGCTGTACATAATGTTTTTTTTATTATTTCTGGGCAACGCAAAATTATAAATTCGCTTACATTGTTGTTGTTTCAGGTTTTTCCTTTTATAATTTTTTTGTTTTTCTATGGGAAACTGCTGAAGATCTGACGACTGATAACTGGAGATTTCAAGTTCCTGGAAATATTCAAGTTGGTACCTTCTTACTTTTACATAAATTCTCTTTTGATGTGCTTTGTAGTTTGTTCTGTTCATTGTATTGATTTTATGATAAAAAATAATTTTTTTTTTTACTTGTAAGAAAAAAAAACTCTGTTATGTAAACTTTTCAGGAAAAAAAAAAAGATGGATACTGTGTTTATCAGATTTTTGTCAGATCTACATCTGAATGTATTTCAATTTACATTTCTTGTTGTTTGATTTTATGTTATGAAAAGGTTTAGGTAATTGTTTGAATTTAAAGTAGAGAAGGCATATTTATGCACAAAAGGGAATATAGTGGAATATATTTGAAATATTTTGAATTATTTGGATAAGCCTAAAATAAATATAAATAACTTTTTAGTTGACCTGAATGCAATGTAAAATTTAATAATGATGGTGATCAGTGACTAATAGCGGTGGCCAACAGTCGGTGCATGCGGACAACTGAGATTTAGGCTTCGTTTGGGACGGCTTTTTTATTGTTTTCTAAAACGGAGTTTTAGTACAAATTTTTTTATTTTTGTACTAAAACTCTGTTTTAGAAAGTAATAAAAAAGTCGTCCCAAACGAAGCCTTAAAAACTAGTCATTAAATTTAAATATTTTAAAATTTAAAATCTAGATATTTTCAAAATTCATGAATTTGAAAAGCCTTACACCCATTCAACTTCAAAAAAATAAAACCCTAATTATTAACACACAAATACCTCAAGTGTATAAGTTTTTAATGTACTTTGATATTAATATATAATTCTTCTCCTATTTTACTATTAAAATAGGAGAAAAATTATAGATTAATATTCATTGCTACGTTCGTAGAGGGGGCGTTTGGCGGAATAATTAATCTCTCAGCGAGTTTAATGGCAACCAAAATCATTGGTGCTGGATTAAGCACTTATTTTCTTTCCACTTAAGGAGTCTAACGCTTGAAAGGGGAATTGAAAGTGAGTTGGGGGTTTTCAACCACGCTTGCCCACCAATTCAGCTAAGCTTGGTGGGGTACAATAATATAACTTAGATAGTATAAAATTAAGCTAAGTTCCATTTTTTATTTAGGGGAGACTATATATATATACTTTTTCCCACTGCAATTGTATTATTTTTCAGTCATAAATATTATTTAATAACATTATTGGTTGAATATCTGCCTATTTAGAAAAAGAAAAATTAATTCAATCATAGAGGTTAATTTTTTTTTTATGAAAATTAATGAGCTTCATGTCAGTCCAAATTGATCAATAATATGACCCTTATAATTCAATATTATTATGATTTTTTTTAATATCATATAATAAAATTAGTCCTGTTGGAGATCGGGTAGAATTTTTTAAAACTCGGGGCAGAATTTTTTAAATATAATCAATTTTTTTTAATATTATAATTTTTAACTACACAGCTCACCTTGGCCTGTTGGTTGAGAACCTATACTTCCAACTAAGAGGTATTGGGTTCGAGTCTTTGTGTATGCGTTGTGTGTGTGAGTTTGTGTGTGTGAGTTTGCCTTAAATGGCGTAAATGTCCAAAAAAAATAAAATAAAATAAAATAAAATAAAAACTCGGGGCTTTGTATGCAAATCATCTCAAAATAAAAATAGGCCCATGTGGAGACGGCCCAAACTTCCAGCCCGCTTTTTCACCTGGTACGTGTGTTTTCCACGCGGGAGTCTGCTCACCGGTTCCCCCTTCCTGCATTGCTGGCATAGGGGGGTGACGATAAGCGGAACAATTTGTGTGTAACATATTTACATAAATTGAAAGAAAATAGAAATTTTCATTAAAAAAAACAAGTTAAATATTCGTGACTCAATTTTCTACATAAATTTTGATACATTTTTTTATTATATTTAAATTCTCTAAACTACGGGAGTAATAACATATTTATAAAAAATTATAAAAATAATTAAATATGAATATATAAGCAAAATAATTATTATAAAAAGTTGGAATATATTTTTTTCAATTATAATAATTATTGATATGTCATAAAAAAATTATCCTAATCGGACACGAATCTCAAGGGAAAAATCAAGTCGAAAATTTAAAATATTAAATTTGGGATCATCTGAACTCTGATTTCAGCAGACTTATAATCGAACTGATTTTCTCGGAAATACGAACCCAACGACACTAAATTCAAATCAATCCGAGCCCAAATGGGTTCGAATCAAAGACCCGAAGCGTTGTTGGAAGGTTCAAACCACAATTTGGATTAACAAACGGTTTCCAAACTTGACATGCTTATAGAAGAATCAAGCGGCTCGACGAGATGAATCAATGAGCCCAAGATCGCCGAATTCTAATATCATTAAGACCTTCAAATTTCTAACGAAGGGTCCACGATCAAATGATTCAATATCGGCCGTCCACCTGAACAACTCCACTTTTGCCCTTGATCTCCTCCTATTTAAGGGTCATGTTATCCTCAAAAAACTATAAATAGCCCCTTATTTCTCTTGAGAGGGGACGAAAGGAAGGAGAAGAAGAGAAGAAAAAGAAGAGAATAGTAGAAGGGAAGAAACTCCTCATCGACCACCGTCGGGATTCTGCCTAACTTTTAAGCGACGTCAGAATTATGCCCGATTTCTAGGCGATGCTGGAATTCTTCCCGACTTTTAAGTGACGTCAAAATTCTGCCCGATCTCCAAGTAACTCTGGAGTTTTGCCTGAATACCATCTAACACATTAGTTCTCCCCGGCCGCCGACTAACGTCGAACTTCTACCTAATGCCGGACCTCCGCTTGTCACTATATTTTAACCCGACTCCGGACTTCTGCCAGTTGTCAGTCTTTCGCCAGATGTTGGATTTATGTCCATTGCTGGACTTCTACCTAACAGTCTTTCCGACCTCCGTCGCCCGCCGACTACGGTTCTTCCAACTTACGTCGCCAACTGACTATTGTCCTTCTGATCTCCGTCGCCAGACAACGGTCTTTATGGCCTATGTCGCCCGCCGACTACGATTCTTTTGACTTACGTCGCTCATCGACTACACTCCTTTTGACCTAACGAACAAGTTAACCGTAACTCTTTTTATTCCCTCCATGTAATGTACTTTATATGATGTACATAGAGTCAAGGCCTTCCCCACAATGAAGGGTCTCATTTGTAATCAACTACAAATACTAGATTAGAGGTTTTCCACGTAAAAATTTTTGATGTCTCATATGAATGCTACACCCTCTCTCTTATCTGATTGTGTGCCGAATTTTCATACAACGCTAAGACATTAAACTTTATATTTCTCTATCGCCGCGAATACTTCGGGACGCAATAATTAGTAGAATATAAAAACATTTGTTAATTTATGATAAAATAATAATATTTATGGATCATTTTTAATTAGGATAAGCTTTAAACTTTATACTAATCATAAAGCAGTTTTACAAATTTTAAAGTTTATCCTAAAATAAATTTTTTTCAATATTTAGATATAAAATTTTTAAAAAATATTTATGAAAATCGTGTTAGTCTATTTAGAACAAAAAAATTTCATAATTTTTTATAAAATTTTCACAATTCATATACATATATTCAAAATTTATTATTTTATTTTTATAATTATACATCATTATATATAAATATTATCACATATCATATCTAAATATATAACATAAAGTGTAATTTTAAGCCTCCAACTCATTCTTAATTTGAATACTTGATATGTATGATAGGATGTATTTGTGTTTAAAGTTAGATTGTCATATTATTATATTAATTTTATTAATTTTTGAATCGTGAATCTTTCCGATCCTATTTTCAAAATCTTTACTACAATAACATTCAAATTTAATATTTATTTCCAAAAAATATAAATAATATATGTTTCTTTTTTTTAGTAAAACTGAAATAAAAAAAATTAATTAAATACATTATCCGAAATTTTAAATAGAATATGTGATATTTTCAAAAAATTCAAAAAAAAAAAAAATCCCCCGGGGCTATGATTGTGGGTCCCACTGTAGCCACACGCCCCAAAATCACCACATAAGGGGCATATAATATCTCCTCCAACCAATGGTCTCCTTCCTTCCCTATCTTCTTCCCCCATCAACAGCAAGAAGAAATACAGCTCGTTCTCTCTCTGTTACCAGGGAAAAAAAACAAAAAAACAGAAAAAGTGGAAAATTTACAGAGTAAAACTAATTTAAAAAAGAAGCCAAGATCCCTCTCTTCTCCATTGGAAATCTCAAAATCCAGCCTTTCATTGCTCATCCAAAGCGTCAGCTAAGGTATTTTTCTTCTTCTTCATCTCCGTGCATAGTGAAAAATATATGAACTTTATAATTTTTGCTGTGAGAACTTCTCTAATTTTCAGTCGCTACAAGTTTTATTAGCTTCCTTTTTGTAAAAGAGTCTATATTGATGAGATTTATCTATGAAATGGATGGTTTTTATGCTCTTAATGACTTTTTTTAAGTTAAAAATGTTCCATTGATTTTGATTTGGCTGTTTTTGGATGGATAATCAGGAAACTATGGAAGTAATTAGTTGGATTAGTTGTCTATAGTGGAAATTTTCAGCATTTCTGCTCGTTTCCTTTTTGATTTGAATGAGTTTGTGATCTTTTTCTTTCATCATCTTTGATAAAATAATGAGTCTGCTTGAGTTTCTAGTTTCTCTTCTGAGTATTCTAAGGGTATGAGAAGAGGAACACTACAACTGAAATTAGCTTAAAATGGATGAAAAAGAAGTCAGACTTATGCAGCTCAAAAAACTATCTGGCAAGATTTAGCATAAATTTTAACCAAATTTTGGAGCCAAAGAACCCGTAAGAAAATTGATTATATAGGTTAGTCTGCTCATCTTCAATTGTACGTTGATCTGTTCTTCAAAAAGTGGCAATTATTGATTTTGATTGAAATTGCACTGACAAATTTTTACTGCTTATTGCTGCAGCAAAAGCAGCTGGCTGCATGATGGTGATGGCAGCAGTTGTAGGGCTGGCTGCTGGAAAGAGGCTTCTGAGAAACTCTTTTTATTCATCAGATTTTGCTGATAAGTTCTTTCCTGATCATGGAGCAACTCAGCCAACGACAGCCTCGAGCAAGAGTGTTATATTTGCTCAAAAACCATCAAATTTTGGAATGGATTCTTCAACTTATAGACACACAGAACCCATTAAGATTAAGGCTTTGATGACACATATTGATACTTCTGCCCCCTCAGCCACTGATAACTCCTTCGAAAGGTTGAACACTGTGGAAGATCATGGCAGCGATATCGAATCTTCCCTTGAAGTCCTCATCTTGTTGCAGAAATCTATGTTGGAAAAGCAGTGGGAACTTTCTTTCAATCTTGCAAGGACTGTAACTAGGACTGAGAAGAACAGTATGACCCCTGGCATTACTCGTTCTGGGATTTCGGCGCAGAAACGAAGAGCCGATAGGAGGAGGAAGTTTACTGATCAGAATGTTTCTGAAGTGCATTTGAGCAAAGGGAAGCAGCATTCTTCTGTTCTTAGTGCTGAGTTTCTGCAAACTAGTTTGGGAAGTTATGTAAGGGGTACTCCAAGTGAGGCTTTGCTCAGACATTCAGAAGTTGTGCATTTGTCCAGAAAAATTAAGATTGGCCTTTTGTTGGAGGAGCAAAAAATGAAGTAATCACCTTCTATCACATATAGGAGACTTTTAATAATTGTTCTTATAGCCATTTCTTATGAATTTCGGAAATCCCGAGGGGCCTAAATCCTGAAAATTATTTGCTAACATTCATGATAAATTCTATTAAATCATGTGTAACTGTTTGACTATAGAACTAACTAACGAACGGACTCTTCCTCTCTAGCCAACGAATTTCGTAAGTCCGGCAAAAAATAGGATTTCGGAAATCCGGGATTTAGCACTAAAAGGCAGAATTTTTCGTCTACGGCGGCTTTCATTTGCCGTGAGATTTGATTTTGCATTTTAGGCCGTTTGGCTGGATTTCGCTCAAATCCTCTTGAAATCCAGCCTAAATCCTGCTACCAAACAGCCCCTTAATATTTCTAATCGATTAAGAAAGCACTTGAATTTCTATTAGGAATGTTAGTATAAGTGAAAAATTCCATAACTAGTAATTAAAATAAACTATGTATTGATATAGTTGTGGTTTGATCTTCTCATTGACTTGAGCTATACTTATATCTATAATTATTTGTCAAATATATGAATTTCAGATTGAAGGAGAGGTTGGGATTTGAACCATCAGATAAACAACTTGCCTTTTCATTGAAGATGTCTTGTGCAAGCTTGCGTTCGAAACTAATGGAATGTTCTTTAGCAACAGAGAAGCTTGCTATGAGTAACGTTCGTCTTGTCATGTCCATTGCCCAAAAATATGATAACTTGGGTTCTGAAATGGCCGACCTTGTTCAGGTAGATCTGCAATAACTTTCTTTCTTCTAAACTCTAGTTTTCTATTTCTTTGAACATAGTCCTCTTCAAGTCTTGGACTTCAATTTTATTTTGATTTTTCAGGGTGGTTTGATTGGACTACTTCGTGGGATAGAAAAATTTGATTCTTCCAAGGGCTGTAAAATTTCAACCTATGTGTACTGGTGGATCCGCCAGGTATGTATGATTGCATTCCCACTGCATAATTGTAAGCCAAATAAGTTTGGGACGACTTTTTTAGTGCTTCTTAAAATAAGATTTCAAAAATTTTTGTACGAAAAAGCTGCTTTAAGAAGCAGTAAAAAAGCTGTCCCAACTCCCAAATGATGCCTTAAACATGTTTATATTCAATGTTAGAAGGTGGCTTACCCTTTTGATGATGAATCAAGCTTCTCTGATTCAGTAAGATTTCGCTCTCTTCTGCAGGGTGTTTCTCGAACATTGGCCGAGAATTCTAGGACCTTGAGATTGCCAACTCATTTGCATGAGCGATTAAGCTCGATTCACCATGCAAAGATTAGACTGCAAGAGAAAGGAATCACACCATCTATTGATGTAAATTACTCATATGACAAATGTTTATTTTACTGTTCTTTTGGTTCGTGTGGGACGGCTTCTCTACTGCTTCTTAAATCAGCTTTCTAGTAAAAAGTTATTTTAAGAAGTAGTAAGAAAGCCGTCCCAAACAAAATGTTTATGTATTTCATGTATATATCAATTGCATATTCCTCGATTTCTATTGATCTGTTCAAAAGCCTCTCTTAGTGATGGTAATTGCTTCTGGTCTTTTCCAGAATATTGCAGAGAGCCTGAATATTTCAACAAAGAAAGTGAGAAATGCTACTCAGGTAAAGCAACTAAGATTGTTCTGTCTGTCTTTATAGTATTGTGTCCTTTCTGAACCACATTTTCTGAGTATGATGAGTGATACAGGCAATCAGTAGAGTTGTCTCGCTTGATAGAGAAGCTTTTCCATCACTTAATGGCCTTCCTGGAGATACTCTCCACAGTGTATGCGTCCAAACTCTTCAATCCATTAAGCTTCTATAATTGTAAACAGAACAAGCTTTGTACAATCTCTCTCTCTTTTCAGTATATTGCAGATAACAATCTTGACAACAATCCTTGGCATGGCTTTGAAGAATGGTCCCTCAAGGTATACATGTCAAAATTAGGCTTCGTTTGGGACGGCTTTCTTACTGCTTCGTAAAACAGCTTTCTAGTACAAAAATTAAAATTTTTTAACTAAAAAATTGCTTTAAGAAGCAGTAAGAAAACCGTCCCAAACGAAGCCTTGGTTCCCAATAGAAATAATGTTTCTTAATTGAAAGTGAGGTCAAGATAATGCTTCAAATGCAAAATTAGTGTTTGGAATTGCTTTTTTATGCTTTTAGATAATTTTCTTTTGGATGGAGTCTTCAAATCTATATTCCAACACGGTTTCAATGATTATAATGGCCTCATTTCCTGGATGCGTTGCATGATAAAGCTTTGCTTCTTTTCTGCTCCAGGATGAGGTTCATAGTCTTCTTAGTACAGCCCTTAACAAACGTGAGAGGGACATCATATGCAGCTACTATGGTCTAGACAAGGCAAGTGAGACATGGGAGGATATTGGAAAACAGTAAGCATCTCCTCCTCCATCATGAAAACCAAGTGAAGTGTTTTGCCTAAGCAATGATTCATTGCCTTAATTGTGATCTTAGGCTTCATTTGGAACGGCTTTCTTCCTGCTTCTTAAAGTGGTTTTCTAATATAAAAATTTTAATTTTTGTACTAAAAAATCATGAAAAAGCTGTCCCAAACGAAGCCTTAATTCCATATGATTCTACACTAACACCAATCAGATTTGGTTTGTCGAGGGAGAGAGTCAGGCAAGTGGGACTGGTTGCCATGGAGAAGCTCAAGCACGCAGCAAGGAGGAAGAAATTGGAGGCAATGCTCATAAAACATTGATGGTTCTTCAAGTTTTCGTATTGTATTGTATATAGAGAAGAGGATAGGAAACTTGTAAATCCATATTTCTTTCTTACTATTAAAAGTCAGCATACCTGTAAATTTATGAACGGCAAACACTTTTCCTTACTGATCGATCTGTGCTGAGGCAACAGTCTCTATTTTATAGTAGCATCAACATCAGCTGGTTTTATAGTACAATCACTGTGTATTCTAATCTTCTCCCCAGACGATGTTCATTGTTTTACTTGAGCTGGCTGATCATTTTCCTTCTAAAAAAATAGTTTGGCATAGTGGAAGACAAAGTTGTTGAGTAAATGTCATCTGTAAACAACAATGAATTATTCTATGCGGACACCCGACAGAAGAATCATCATGTTTTGTCTCTGTGAATAGTAAAAGCGCAGCTTACTGTGCTTTTACTGTTATGTTGTGCTTTTATTGTTCATAGAGATGGAACATGACGGTTTTTTCCACCCGGTGTCTGCACAGAATAATTTCTCGTGAACAACAGGGATGAAAAAATAGCCTCAATGAAAGTTAGACATCGATGGTAATTGAGCTTAGTTACCTGTACTCTTAACTAGAGCCTGGTAAGATTAAGTTACCTTCAATTGGAGTTGAAAGAGCCCGCTTAGACAAATTCTTCTTTCTCCAAGGTGATTGATCATGCCAGGGGTGGAATCAAGAAGAGCTCAGGATGGGTAACTACCCATCCTAAAATATATATATATTTTACTTAGAAGAATAAACATTTTAACTATTTTAACCACCTTCAATAAATGTAATTGCCCAAACTATAAAAAATAAATTTTTTTTTTTGTAATTTCATATATATGATTATGTATTTCACAATTTTATTTTGCGCATGATTATTCAAATTTTTGTATTATATATTTCGATAGACGTGAGATGCAAGCATTGATTATTCTTTTTCTTGTCCCGGAGGTTGTTGGGAAACTACTCCTATGTTGAAAATTTTAAAAAGCATGATACCATAAAGGCTTAAAAATTCCTACTTTACTAAAGTTTGGGTTTGGTTAACTATTACTCAACCTAACCCAAAGATAATCCTAAATATAAGAATTAACACAATATATCATTGATAGCAAAGCTTGGCAGTTACTTCATGTATGATTTGTCTCTTTCTCCTCTAGATCCTATGCCATATATTCTCAAAACCCTAACGGCAAGGCAACAAGAAAGTTATGACGGTAAAGAAGCGAGGAAGCTATCAACCAGGACCAATTATTATGTCCGGTCACTGGACCTACAAAATAGGTCCGAACATCCAATAAAAAGTTGCCACGTGGACCACGCTTTGACTGTGCTTTGGGTGCGCTTTGACTGCGCTTTTGACTGTGCTTTACCTGCGCTTTCACTGTGTTTTACCTGCACTTTTGATCGGACATAATAATTTGCCACAGAGCAATGACATGTGAAGAATAAAAGGTGTTCGTGAAACTTGGTGACTAAAGTTAAATCCGACCAACGCTAATATTTACTAAATTCAAGGCAAAATAAAGGAGAAGAGAGTTAAGATCTCATTGTAACTTGCTACTCTATTGCTTCTCTAATGAGATCTCGTCATGATTTTCTCTTGGACCCATTATGACTTTCTCTTTTTAGGATTTCGTTATGAAAACAATAGAGAGTATACACTTTGATATATAAATATGATAATTGAAAACCCTCCTTTAATGCTGCTCTTAGTTGAATGATCGATATTTTTTTGACTTCTTACACGGTTTAGTTTTATCATATTTTTTAATTCTTCATTACTTTTTAGTATTTAAAAAGTAAAAAATAATATAATTTTATGATCCAAAATTTGAAGCAAAAATCACATTTAACACAAATTTCTTTGAGAAAATTCTTTATAAACGGTCCTCTACCGCCCTTACTCAGCCACATCCCCTCATCGTCTTCCTCCCTCGACCATGCCTTCTTCCCCTGCCATGATCGAAATCCTCTCCAAACAAACAGTAAAACCTCCCCCAAACTCCTCCCATCCCCGCCTCTGCCACCTCACTCCATGGGACGTCGCCATGCTTTGCCCTCATTACATCCAAAAAGGTCTCCTTTTCACCAATCTCCCGCCTTCTCTTCCCCTCCCCCTCCTCCTCGCCACCCTCCAATCCTCCCTCTCTATCACTCTCCAACACTTCTACCCTCTCGCCGGCCGCCTCCTCACCCAAAAACACTTCACCGGCGACAAAGTCACATCCTTGCACGTCTCCATCGACTGCAACGATCAAGGAGCCGAGTTCATCCACGCCGCCGCCGTCAAAATCACACCTTTCGACTTTCTCTCCCCAGGCAAGGACATTCCCTCCTTCGTCAACTCTTTCTTCCCTCTCAACGGCGCCATCAGCCAAGACGGCCACTCCTCCCCTCTCCTTTCCGTTCAACTCACGGAGCTCGCCGGCGGCGCCGTCTTCCTCGCCTGCTGCTTTAACCACATCGTCGGCGACGGCACCTCCTACTGGAATTTCTTTAATGCTTGGGCAGAGATAACGAGAACAAACTCCTTATCTCTCCTGCCGGTTCACGACAGATGGTTCATCGACGGTGAAAACCCACCGATCCATCTCCCCTTCTCCGATTCCTCCCAATTCATCGAACGCTTCTCCCCGCCGGTTCTTCGGCAGAGATTCTTCCATTTCTCAACGGAATCTATAGCGAAGCTGAAAGAAAAAGCGAATAGTGAGATTAAAACTGAGGAGAATCAGAATCAGAATCGAATCATAATCTCCTCTTTCCAAGCTCTGAGCGCGATGGTATGGAGGGCGATAACCAGAGCTCGAGGATTCCCACCAGAGCAACTGACGAGCTGCCGTTTAGCTATACAGAACCGAGGAAGACTCCGGCCGCCGCAATCCCCGGCGTACTTCGGAAACTCGATATACGCGGTGGCGGCGACGGTGGCGGCGGGGGAGTTGGAGGCTAATGGGATAGGATGGGCGGCGAGGCAACTGAACAGAGCGGTCACAGAGCATACGGACGAGGCGATACGTCAAAAGCTGAGAGAATACCACGCGGCGCCGGTGGTGTATAAGATGACGATGTTTGATCCGAAGAGCGTGATGGTGGGGAGTTCGCCGAGGTTCAATATGTACGGCTGTGACTTCGGGTGGGGGAAGGGGGCGGCTGTGAGGTGTGGTCCGGCGAACAAGTTCGACGGAAAGGTGTCGGCTTTTCCTGGCAGGGAAGGAGGTGGGAGCGTTGACTTGGAGATTTGTCTTGTTCCTTCGTTCATGGCGGCTTTGCTTCTGGATCAAGAGTTCTTGGACTCAGTTTCTGTACCTTCGGGGAAGCTTGGTGGTGGTCTTTAAAATAAAAAAATAAAAAACGTGCACGTGAAAAAAACTAATAAAAAATTCTGTTATGAATTTTAGAATTATTGAGAAAATTCAGAAATAAATTTTGGGTCAGAATTCAAGAAATTCTTAATTGGGGCATATTTATTTTGTATTCTATTTTTTAGAGTACATAATAAATATAAAGCTGTCTATTTTTTTTTTCATCTCTTAATTTTTTTTAGTATATTTACTAGAATTTTGATGAGGCCCGGCTCGCAAAAGCAGTGCAACCGACTCTGATCGCTGTCCTAAGGCCCGGCTTGCATCTCACGTTTGCTAGTTCCGTCCCAAGATCCGCTCAAGGTCCCAAGGTCACATCTCTCGCTCAAGGTCATGAGGTTTGCTCGGACTCCGAGATACTTTTCCCGCCCACCAGAGCTTCGATTTCATTTTCCCTCCCACAATTTCGCCAGCTGCTCAACAAACGCGCAAGTCAAGCTGACGGTTGTTCGAACTCGAGCTCAATAAACTGTCGAGCTTGAAATCATGTTTCAAGCTCGACTTGCCGAGATTGTTAACGAGTCGAGCCCGAATCGATTTGACTCGGTTGCACCCCTAAATTCATCCCTATATTTCTTCATTGTATCAACATAATCAATTAAAGGCTCAATGTCAAGACTCATTGCATTATCCTTTTCAATAATTATTATAAATGAATTCCTAAAAAAATCCTCTTCATTCTTATTTTTATTACATTGTCTTGACCAATCTAGTTTGAATATAAAAATTATTTGATTTTATTTAAGATGAGTATCTTAGAGGTGTAAATGACAAATTAGTTAGCCAAATGACGAGCTCAAACTCAAGTAGAGCTCACTGAAAGAGCACAAGCTCGACTCGTGAAAACATAAGTAGGGTTTTGCGAGAGCATATGAGATTGCAGCAAAAAAACACATAGAAGGCATAAAGGTCAAACTAAAGCATGTTTGCATTCAAGCTCTAGCTTGTGCTCGATAAGATCTGCCACGAGCTTATTATCGAGTTGAATCGGTTTGACTCATTTACACCCTTAAACATGTATTATATGAGAAAATAATTAAAATATATATTGAGTTTATTTTAAAAAACAAATAGTTTTAAAAATAATTATTGATACATCCTCAAAAAAGTATCTTGATCGGGCGAATCTCGATGCAAAATCGAGTTGGAAACTTATGAAATTAAAATTGGAACCATCCAAACTCCAATTTAAGCAAACTTATAGTCTAACTGAACGTCTTGGAAATACGAACCCAACGACACCAAATTTGACTCAATCCGAGCCCAAATGAGTCCAAATCAAGGACCAAAAGCGTTGTAGGAAGGTCGTAGCACAATTTGAGTTAGCAAATGGCTTCCAAACATGACGTGCTTATAATCGAATCGAGTGGCTCGATGAGACAAATCTAACAAGCCCAAGATCGCCGAATTCCGACATCATTAAGGCCTTCAAATGTCTGACGAACGGTGCATGATCAAGGGATTCAATATCGGGCGTCCATCCAACCACTCCCCATTTACCCTTGATCTCTCACATATTTATAGGTCATGCCACTCTAGAAATCTATAAATAGACCCTTCATTTCTCTTGAGAGGGGGACCGAAGCAAGAACAGAAGAAGGAAGAAGCTCATCCTCGACCACAGCCGGACTTCCGCCGAACCACCACTTGAGGCCCTCACCTCCGTCAGACCACCGTATGACGTTGTGGTTCCGCCGAACCACCACTTGAGGTCCTCACCTCCGTTGGACCACCGCTTGACGTCGTTGCTCCGCCGGACCACCACTGGAGGCCCTTACCTCTGCTGGACCACCACTGGAGGCCCTCACCTCCGCCGGACCACCGCCTGATGTCATTGTTCTGTCGGGCCACCACTTGAGGTCCTCACCTCTATCGGACCACTGCCAGATGTCTTTGCTCCGTCAGACCACCACTTGAGGCCCTCACCTCTGCCGGACCACTGCCTGACACCGTTGCTCCGTCGAACCACCACTTGAGGCCCTCACCTCCGCCGGACCACCGCCTGACGTCGTGGCTCTGCCGGACCACCACCTAAGTCCCGGACTTTTGCCTGACTACCACTTGAGGCTTAGACCTCCGCCGAACCACTGCTTAAAGCCCTATGCTCCACCAGGCCACCACCTGAGGCCCAGACTTCTGCCGGACCCCCACCTGAGGCCCAAACTTCTTCCGGACCACCACCTGAAGTGTGGACTTCCACCGGACTACTGCTTAAGACCCTATAGTCCACCAGGCCACCACTTGACCCCCATAGTTCTCCTAGAGTACTGCCCTTTAACTACAGTCTTTCTGACCCTGGTCTCCTACCAATTAAGGTCTTTCGGACCCCTGTCTCGTGCCGACTATGGTCCTAGGCCTGCCGACTAAACAAATATATCTATATAACTCCCACCATGTAATGAGCTCTATATAATGTACATTTGTGACACTAAGTCAAGGCCTTCTCCAGGAAGGGCCTCATTTGTAATCGAGAACAAATACTAGTAGATTCATTCAAACTGGGCTAGGCCCCGTAGTTTTTTCTCCTTTTCAGGGGTTTCCACGTAAAAACTCTGATGTTTCTTATAAATGCTTCACCCTCTCTCTTATTTGTTTGTGTGCTGGATCTTTGTACAATGCTAAGACGTTAAACTATATATTTCTCTACCGCCGCGAATACTCCATGACGCAACAATTATGATGAAATATTTTTTGGTCAGTAAAAACTTGTGATTTTTTAAAGTGTATTTCTTTTTATCATCATAAATGTTAATAAGTATTTGACACCATCCCAATGCATTAGAAATTTTTTTTATCACTATAGCTTAAAATAAAAAAAATATTAATGGCTTTAATTGTGATTTTAATCAAAATTATTTATCACTCTACATTGAATATACATTGTATTCAAATATTTACATAATATTATTAGACAAAAAATGAGCTGTGTTCTTCGTAGAATTTATTTTTTATTTTCGTAGAGTATAGAACACATAATATTTTTTTATCTTCATCTATTAAATTATATATGTCGTCTAATGATCTTAAAATTATTAGATTTATGAAAACTATTTTCTATCTTTTTATCTTAGAGATGACAAAATTATAATAATATTTTTTTTAAGAATATTTAGGTCAATAAGGTAAATTCATTCACATCATATATATAAGTTTCAAAAACATCTTAATTGAGAAAATTATTACTTTTGGTACCCGGACTCGTCTGGAGGCCAATCCGAATGCACCACGTCATCCAATACACAGTGTATTGGGTGATGTGGCGCGTTTGAATTGGGCTCCAGATATGTCTGGACTGGCCTCCAGATTTGTTCGAACTTTGCACAGAATAATTTCTCTTTAATTGATAATCAAAACTTCCAACCAATAGATCTGAATAAGTTAGTGAAAATTATAATTACTCGAAGAATTGATAGAACATAAGTAGCTGGCACCACACGTAAGCTACTCACGGGCTTGAAATGAAGAGATCAGTACATGTTTTGTTTTTTATTTTTTTTATAATTTAATAATAAGTACTTGTTTTTTTTTTTTTATTTAATAATGTTCACATGGAATATTATCAGGCTTATTTTGGCCTATTACAAAGAAATAATAAATAATAAGAAGAAAAGCTTCTTATCAAAATTAATAATTTTCATGCAGGCCAAGATTTGAAGATTGTGGATAACTATAGATAAGCTTATATCTATTATTAATTTAAAGATGTGAAATTTATAAATTATAATTTTATTATTATTGTTTGAGTAAAATTTCTTCCATATTTTTAAAATTTGTTGATATATTAATATTTTATTTTTTTAATTTTTTCAACAAGTAACTTGGTGGTTTTGAATTAATCAAAAAATTTAATGCATTGAATGTATGATTTTATGAGAGAAAGTTGCTACTAGTTTAATTTATTTGTTTTCATTTTTTTTTTCTAAAATTTTGTGATCGTTCTATTATATATTAAGATTAAGACTTTGCTTGGAATATCTTTTTTACTATTTTTAAAATAACTTTCGATTAAACAAATTTTGTACTAAAAAATTTTTTTGAAAGCACTAAAAAAAATATTCCAAACAAATCCTAATATTTTATTTAGAACAACTTTCTTAATAATTTTCTTTTTAGACTGGAATTACAATTCTTATTTGATTACTATTTTTTCATTACTTTCAAAAAAATTTTGTGCTAGAAATCTATTTTCTATAACAATTTTTTTTTAAAAAATATCTTTCTTCAAAGTAGCTTTATAATTAACATTATAAAAAACTAAAATAGTCCCAAACATGCCCTAAATTACACTATAATGTTGAAAATCTCTCATCAAATAATTATTTCATGAATTAATCCTTAAATTTGAAAGTCCCCGTTGTAAAAAAAAAAAAAAAAATCCATAAAGATAAGAATGGCCCAAAAATTTTGGCCACATGCCATCGAAAATTGGACTCTTATGTGGGGCGAATTATTACGTCCAGTCATCGGACGTCTGGACATCCAATCCAGATACGTCATGTCACCCAAATACACTGAAATCCGATATATTTTAGTGACATGGTGCATCTGAATTGGATACCGGACGTAATAATTTGCCCTTATGTGTACACCTGTTTTTCCCCAAGTGTTTTCTTATGCAGACAACTGCCTATCAGAGAAGCCACATGATCCTACTGGATTTCAATACTTCTTCTGCCATTATTGCATATATTCTAACTCTTTTGTCTTCTAGTAACTTAGCTGTCTATGTACATCTTATAATGTTTAAGATTTTATTCGGGATAGTTTTTTAATTTCTTTTTAGGAGGACTTGCTTCTTAAAAAATTTTCTAGTAAAAAATTAAAAATTTCATACTAAAAAATCACTTTAAGAAGTAATAAGAAAGTTATCGCAAACGAAGCCTTAGATCATCTCCAACCGAAAATCTCATTTTTCACTCCAAAATGCCGTAAACTACAAAAAGCCGTGATTTCATCTCCAATGGAACGCGTTTTTCATCCTTTTGCAGTTAACCGTCGCCTCTTTTTTTCCCGCGACAAGTTCGGTAGAGTGGTAAAAATGGCGGAGATGAACAGTGCACACGCCAATATTGGCGTCCCACTGTTCACCCGCAGCCATATAGCGGAAATTTTGCAGTTCGGCTGGAGCTGGCCGGGAGCTCCATTCAAGCGTTTGGAGGTCGGTTGG